CACCATTGAAAATCACCTTACCCACATATAGGAGCAAAATGGCAAAATTAACACTTTCTTAAAAAATGTAAATTTCAAAAAATTTTAATTTATTTATTAGTTTCTAACTTTTATAGATTATAAGCGAGACTTCAATGAATTTAAAAACGATTTTTTTAAATTTATTACTTTTAACGTAATCACAGAAATTAGGAAAAATCAACAAACCTTGACAAAAGTAATCATATCCCTTTATCTTTAAGTATTTAACCATATATTAAACTATACAGCAAATACATTGCAAAGCAGTAACGCGATGCATGTGTTTCGAAAAATTATGTTCATCAAATTTCTGTTTGTTTTTATCTTTAAAATTTATATTTAGAAGTGTTAAATTATTAACATTAAATTAATACTAAATTTTAGACCAGCAACAAGACTTTAAGTCAAGGCTTGGCAAGATTTGCACTTCTCGATCGATTTTCGATTCGGCTCCGTCTCCCGCTATTCCTGTCATCTCTCGCTCCGTGCGCAGTCCAAATGCCGTTCGGCACTTAGGAGCATATAAGTTACAAATAGATATGAGGTACATTTGCTTTAGGCACTAACGCTATAAACTTCATTCTATCTTTTCTTTCATTCATTATATAATTAAGACAGAATGAAGCAACGTGTAAGCACTCAAAGCGAATACATCTAATGAATTTTCAATAGTTTTCACTCTTGAGGTACTACTGTTGAAGCGTCTTTTTAAGTGGTATTCAGTAGGCTTAGTCCACTCATAAAAATGATGAATTGTACGACCAAGTAATTAACCAAACGAAGTGAAATGAAAAATACTTATTCTGATTTTCGGAATCTTTTATTGGCGATATCAGAAACGTCGACTCGCATATCATACATAGTGAGCTGTATAAGACGAGATTCATCGCTTAAGAAAGAATGTCTCTCATTTTCTATAAGTTTCATTTTCAAAAAGGATGTTTTACATAAATATGTAGATCCGAACATGAAATGAATTCGAAGTTCGAAATCACAAAGCTTGGGGTATGATAATTCTTTCAACATTTTATAAAAATCGGCACCAATTTTTTAACCGTTTTTTAGTGAAATATCCTTCTGCAAATCACATAATTCATTTTGCAAGTCAATATGTTCTTTAATTGGCGTTGCAAGAGGATTCTCGAAAAGAATTAATTCCGTTTTGAGTTTCTCGAAGCAAGTAAACTGTGTATCAAATTCTATAAGAGAATATAAAAAATGAATATATTCTTTGAAATTACAGTTATTGTCATGTTCTTCGACAGGAATTTGGCAAGAAGGAAAAAGTGAAAAATATTATTATTTAAGTGAGATTTGAATAACTGCAATTTTCTTCGGAAAGAATCGTGATTAATTGGGAAATATTTTGGTCCTTTGTAGCTTTAAATTAAGAAGTCTAAGTTGATTACTTATATCAGTAATAAAAGCGAGTAAGTAAGAAAAGTGACATCTTTTACAAGAGATATATATATTTGTGAAATGAATTTTGAGTTGTTCATTTCTTATAGGAAAAGGAGAATGTCTTATCTTATTGCAAAAAAAACTTCTATTTTGCAGTTACATTTTGCAGTACTAAACCAACGAATTGGAAAATGAAGTGGGACATCTGTGTAAACAGCTTTATGTTCAGCAAGAAATAATTTCAATTTTGAATAGGTAAGAAATTTATGTCCACCTTTAATTTCATTAATTATTTTAGTGTATTTTCCATAGATGTTGAAAATTTTATAACTTTACCGGCTAATGCTTCTTGATGTATTGTGCAGTGACTAATGGGGATATATTTAAATTTCGCTAATTTAATTGATCGGCAAATCCTTTCTTTAATCCTGTCATATCTCTCGTACCATCAATCGTAATTGAAGAACATTTATCAAAATCTATGTCAAATCTTCAGAAAGTTTCTTCAACTATCAAAAAAATATCGAGGCCTGTTGTTGTGTCACGCAATATGACGAAATCTAAAAGTTCCTCGACAACTGAATAATCTTCTTGCACCATTCGAGTAAAAATACTAAGTTGACTCGTGTGTCGATATCAGTGCTTTCGTCAAAGTATAAAGAAAAATATTTATACGATTTTAAAAGATTTTATAATTCCTTATGAAATCATTGATATAAGCAATTCTCTCTCTCTTGAGGTTACAATTTTTGCACGACAAATGTTCATTGCTTGCTCCAAAGTTAAGGAATTGCAAAAAATTTTTATTGCTTCTATAATATAATTTTTAAACAAAAACGCCTTCGGTGAATAGTGTAGGATTTTGCTATAAGCAAATAAACGAGGTTAGGGATTTTCGAGAAGAAGAAGGAAAAGAAGGTGTTGAACTTTCTTCATAAATTCTAATTCTTTTATCTCTTCTATAACATTCAATTTTTCTGAATTTGAATAATTTAAATAATTTACCAAATGACGAGTTTTGAATTGCTTCACATATTTTTTAACTACTGATGGTTGAAAGCCGCAAAATAAACAAATCATCCGATCTGAAATGTAACTAAAAAAATAATTAAATTCCCAAGATTTATCAAAAACTTGCATATAAATTATTTAAATTACTCAAATTCAGAAAAATTGAATGTTATAGAAGAGTTAAAATTAATTTATAAAGAAAGTTCAACACCTTTTTTCCATCTTCTTCTCGAAAATCTCTGCAAGCCTCTTATGTCGTTTCTTTGCTTATAGCATAAAATTCTACGCCATTCGGCTCAGAAAGCGTATTTGTTAAAAATTATATTATTAAAGCAGTAAAAGCAATTCCTTAACTTTGAAACAAGCAATGAATATTTATCTATGTGCAAAAACTGTAACATCAAGAGACAGAGAATTGCTGACATCAATGATTCCATAAGGGATGAATTACAAAATCTTCTAAAATCGTAAATATTTTTCTTTGTGCTTTGACGAAAGCACTGATATTCCACATACAAGTCAACTTAGTATTTTTATTCGAATTGTATAAGATTATTCATGTCTCGAGGAACTTTTATTTTTGTCGTATTACGTGACATAATGACAAGCCTCGATATCTTTTGGCAGTTGAAGAAATTCTCAAAAAATTTGACATAGATTTTGATAAATGTTCTTCAATTACGATTGATAGTGCGCGAGCTATGATTTAAAGAAAGGATTCGCCGATCAATTAATTAAAGTAGCGAAATTTTAATATATCCCCATTAGTCATTGCACAATACATCAGAAAAGCATTAACCGGTAAAGTTGTAAAACGGCTATGGAAACTGTCACTAAAATAATGAAATTAAAAGTGGACATAAGTTCCTTACCCATCGAAAATTGAAATTATTTCTTGCTGAACAAAGCTGTTTACACAGATGTCCCACTTCATTGTCCAATTCGTTGATTTAATATTGCAAAATGTAGCTGTAAAATAGATTTTTTTCTTGCAATAAGAAAAGAAATGAACAACTCAAAATTTCACTTATATTAGTAATAAAAGCGAGTTTAATAAGAAAACTGACATCTTTCAAAAGAGATGTATATTCATGAAATTTTGAGTTGTTCATTTCTTTCAGGAAAAGGAGAACAGCTTTTCTTATTACAAGAAAAAATCTATTTTACAGCTACATTTTGCAGTATTTAACTTAGGCAGTAATTAACTTAGACTTCTTAATTTAAAGCTGCAAAGGATGGACCAAAATATTTCCCAATTAATTATGATTCTTTCCGAAGAAAATTGCAGTTATTCAAATCTCACTTAAATAATAATATTTTTCACTTTTTCCTTCTTGCCAAATTCCTGTCGAAGAACGTGACAATAACTGCAATTTCAAAGAATATATTCATTTTTTATATTCTCTTATAGAATTCGATACACAGTTTACTTGCTTCGAGAAACTCAAAACTGAATTCTTAAAACTTAATTCTTTTCGAGAATCCTCTTGCAATGCCAATTGAAGGACATATTGACTTGCAAGATAAATTATGTGATTTGCAGAACGAATTTATTTCACTAAAAACGGTTAATGGAACTGGTGCCGATTTTTACAAAATGTTGAAAGAATCATCATATCTCAAGCTTCGAATTCATTCCATGTTTGGATCTACATATTTATGTGAGACATCCTTTTTGAAAATGAAACTTATAGGAAATGAGAGACGTTCTTTCTTGAGCAATGAATTTTTGCTTCTTACGGTTCGCTGTATGCGAATCGACATTTCTGGTCTCGCCAATAAAAGATTCCAAAAATCAGAATAAGTATTTTTTATTTCACTTCGTGTTTAATTACTTGGTCATACAATTCATCATTTTTATCAATGAACTAGGCCTGCTGGGGATACCACTTAAAAAAAACGTGTCAATAATAGTACCTCAAGAGTGACGTGAAAAATTATTGAAAATTCATTGGATGTATTCGCGTATACGTTACTTCATTCTGTCTTAATTACATAATGAGTGAAAAAAAAAGATAGAATAAAGTTTATAGCATGAGCACTCAAAGCGAGTGCACTTCAAATCTATGTAGCTTATACACTCCTAAGCGCTAAGTGGCATTTGGACTGCGTGCAGAGCGCGAGAGGAATAGCGGGAGGCGGAGCCGAGTCGAAAATCGGCTGAGAAGTGCAAATGTTGCCGAGCCTGCTGTATTTGGATATCTTACTTGTTAGAATCTAACAAGTCTAAGATTTAGATCTAAGATTTAGATGATCTGTAATTTGTGTTAATTTAAAAATGAAATTTTATTCATTATTTCATATGCCTTGCATTCTAATATATACTTCATATATATAAGTGTATATTTTTAACCTTTATGTTTTTTATACACATTATGAAATTACAAATAGAAACGACTATTTTTTTTCTGAAATCAAGAATTATATATCGCCTAAAACTTTTAAAGTACTTTTAAAATAACGTTCTTTTTTTATTCCTATAATATGAAACAATAATAATATATGGATTAATATTTGAAATATTTACATTTAATAATAATATTTAATATCTATATTACTTTACTTACTATTAAAAATGGGTCTGTGATCGCTATCAAATCTAATAAAACTTCGCTGGATCAGTGAGTGTCCGAATCGATAAGCCGCTGTAGAAAATGAATTTGCAATGGTGGGATTTACTGTCGGATCATATCCTTTGTAGTAATCTTTTTTATGAACTTCCAAATCAAAAATTTTCATCACCTGAGGGCCTGGAAAACTTTATTAGTGCTTTTATTTTAGAACGCTTTATCAATTTTTAGTCTTTATGATACTATCGATAATATTATCTTCAAGTGACAGTAACTACTGAATTGAAAGTTGTCTTACCAAGAATGATCGGCAGAAATTCTCGATAAGTTATATGTTGGACTATTGCGCCAACGATTCTTCGTGCTTCTTGAAAAAGTTTCTCGTCGCTCCAATGAGAATTTAAGGTTGATAATTCCGTGGCTATCCTGTTGTGCAATCTTAGAAAAACGATGTGCAGGGACGTAAGAGCAGGTTGCTCACTTAGACGTCCGTCACCAGCTCGGAAACAAGTTGTAGACAAAGACCCGCGTTTGCATAAATCCGATTTATGTTTCAAAAGTGATGATCTTCGCGCCTGTATTCTTCCGTATTGCAGTAAGCCTAGAGAATTAAAGTTCGAGTTGAGAAATAGGGATTCCACTAAACAGGAACACTATTCTTTGGATGGACCAGGTTGCCTCCAATTTGATTTATGTAGAGTTTCTATTTAGTATTTGGAATGTAGAATCACATAGAAAAGAAATTATTCGATTGCACTTTCTGCAATCATATTATTTTTCTCATATTTCCATATTTGTTTACATACCATAAACATAGGATCCCCGATTATCACTATTTATGTAAACATAAGATCCCGGCCGATGGATTATATAAACATGATACGTGTGATGATCTGCTATGCGTTCCGCATTTTTTTTGCCGCCACCGCCGCCGCCGCACCCATTTCAAAATGCGTCACGGTATTATATGATAATGCGAACAAAAAAATTATTAAAATATTAAATATTTTATAGCCGATATTAAAAAAAAATGTAAAATTTCTTACTTTCTCCTCCTCTTCCTCCTCCTCCCTCTCCTTCCCCTCCTCCCTTCCCCTTCCATCCTCTCTTCCTCCTTTTCCTCCACTTTCCCTTCCCTTCTTCCGCCACCGTTTTTCCCCCACTTGAAAAAATACGGTATAATATTAAAAAATTTTGAAAAAATTCGTAGAGTTCTATGAGAAAAAAATTAACAATTTTTATCTCTTGCAGTTTTTCTGTAAAGTTGAGTAAAAAATTATTGGAGACCAATTTTCGGCAATTTTTAACAATTAATATCTTGTTGCGCAAATTGCAAAATCGTAGAGGACTTTTTCCCAGTTTAGTCCACTCTGCCCTTATGCTAAAAATTTATCATTATTTTCCAAATACTCTATATACACTCACACGCAAGAAAAACAGGCCACATAAATTTTAGTACTAATTTTTAAATAGCAATAACTCAGTGAAAAATCATGTAGCGAGATATTTAAAAAAGCTGAAATCTCTACTTTTCAGACCGGTATTTCAAAAAATGTCTTGCCGATATTTTAATTTGCCGAAATTACACAAACATAAATGAAGATGTGTCCAATCTCAAAATTTTTTACGAAATTTGAGAATTTGAATTTTATTTGAAGCAAAGAGGGTCATTTTTACTTCAACGTTGAATAATTCGGTGAAAAAAAATCATACAGAACTCAACAAAAAAGCAAATTAAAGGTAAAGATTCAGTCTTTCGAAAACTGTAAACGGCATTTGTGCATAATTTTTAATTCGTGCCGTGGAATTTCTCAAATTTCGTAAAAAATTTTGAGATTAGATACATCTTCATTTATTCTGATTGACTTTGAAATCGACTTTTGACTTCTCCAGTCAATTTATAGTCGACTTTAGTCAACTTTGTATTATTTGGGAATTGACGAGAACAAGCTGTTTAAGCACATCATGAATGGTATTCCGAACGTCGCGTTGCACCAACAGACGCGCATTTAGGGATTTACTTTAATTGATTCTCTCCTAAAAGCATTCGACAGGATAATGTTGCGGGATCGGGGTGCGATCAATTTAAGTCAGTAGAATGTGCGAAACGATGAACCGGCTGGAGGCGGGCGGTATGAGTGAATCGGCGCGATCGATGAGAAGAGTGATGGTAGGAACGATAGTAGGGGAAGAGCAGCAGATGAGGCATTGCTTTAATTACGATTCTCGAGGACATCTTAATGTGAATTGTCCAACAAAGAATCTTGATACTAAATGTCGTAAATATAAGCACATCACATCAAACTGTCCCAAAAAGGATAATTTAGCAAAAAAAATGTTGTTCCGTCGATTTCTCATAAATCGCAAAAAATATACGAAAGATGTGCGAATAGGAGATAGAGTTATTACCGCACTGATAGATGGGAAGCAATATATGCGAGCTAGTAGTAGTATATAGTAGTATATAGTGTGAGTACATGGCGATCGCCGAGATCACAAGCTTCGGCAACGGAGTTTTGTGGAGTGGAAGATTTTCGTGCGTCGGCCTCTGAGGAAGTTCGAATACGATCGACGGTCACATTTGTTCAATATTTATTCTGATCGTCCCGGATACTGTTTTACAATATGGATTACATATCGGCGCGGATTTTCTAAGCACAGTGGAAGTTAATTTTAAATGAGGTAATTTCGATTATTCCGATTTACGAACAGACCGTTAACGCGGCCGGAAATATTTGTGATTGACGTACAGAACACAAGCGTGACTGACATGTCGAGCAAGATGCCGAGAGCATAGAAATGCTATAATAAACTTGATGGAGAATTACCAGTCAAAAGTTGCAGAAAAGCGATATAAAAATGTCAATTATTTTAAAGGATGAACCGGTGTATCAACAAGTATATCAACAAAAAATGGTTGTCACAAGTCGAGAGAAAAATATTAATTCTCAGATTAGCGAATGGGAAAAGGATATAGTCTGACCTTCGATCTCTGATTTTGTGAAGTCTGTCGTTTTAGTAAAAAAAAAGGAAGATTCCTCTAGATTATTTGTTTCTCTAGATTATCAAATATTAAATAGGAAAATAAGTAAATATAATATATATAATATATAAAAGATTTATTCTCTTTAAAAGAGAATAAATTCTTATTTTAAGTATATGATATTGTATGAGTATTTCTAAAACTTCGAATGAATACATTTTAAGATTACTAAGGAGAAAATATTCTTTATTGTTGTTGAAAGTAATCGTTACTTAAAAGAAGAAAAATGAAATGATTAATTGCTTTTCTTAGCAATAGAATGATATTTTTCAGTGTGTACGTATGAACATACGTACGTTCATACATATGTTTACATGCTTACACACATACGAGAGTCGTCCAATAAGTCAGGTGAAAAAGCGATAAAATTACCTATTTTTCGAAAAATTTTTTTTCTTTTCGACGTAGCCTCCTTGAAGCTCTACACATTTAGTTCAGCGGTGATTCAATTTTTTGATCCCTTCGGAAAAGTAAGAAGTCTCGAGGCCTTAAAAATACGTATCCACAGCAATGATGACTTTCTTATTGAATGAAAATTTCTTTATACCGAGCCAGATCTTGAGGTTTGGGAATAGGAAAAAGTTACAAGGAGCCAAATCAGGACAATAGGTGGATGGGGCAGCAATTCGAATCTTAATTCATACGATTTTGCTATTGCACTATGGAGGTGTGAGCCGGAGCGTCGTCATAGTAAAAGAGGATTTTTTTACGCGCCAATCTCGGCCATTTCGTTTGCAGCTTTTCAAATGATTCAAAAGTGTAAAATAATATACTCCTGTTTGACTTTTCTAAGTAATCAATGAAGATGATTCCTTGGGAATTTAAAAAAAGTGGCCATTATCTTCTTGTCATCAACAAAACAATTTTCGCCTTCATCGGCGCACATTCACCAGGCAATTTTGATTTGAATATGTAATAATGGATCCAAATCTCATTTATAGTCAATCGACATCAAAAGTCTTGTGGATTGCGCTTAAGCATCGATGAACACTGCTGCGAAATGTCTTTTCATATGAGTTTTTGGACAATGATCAGCAATCTCAGCACTCATAGTGTACAAAACTTTTTCATTTCTAATTCGTTGTGCATATTATGCACCATATCTACTGAGATGCATCTCAGCTATGTTATGCACTTTCATTCGGCGATCTTCCATTTTTGGCGTAGTGATTTCAACTGGATGTCCGAAGCAAACTTCATCTTTGGTCCGATTTTTTTGAATTCATTAATCCAAAAATAAGCGGTTTTCAATGGTGCAGAGTCCCTCGTGAACATCGTCCAACTCGGCTTTGATCTATGAAGTCGTCCATTTTTTTAAATAAAAATGTTTAATCACTGCACGGAATTCACTTTTTCCCATTTTTACGACTGCTGCCATGCTCATTTCCAACGTCTGCCACACGTAAGCGTCTCTTTGGCTGAAACTTGGTGTGAGACAGTTTGAATAGTATTACTTCTTAGCCATATACTACACAGTTTATTATAGCGCCATTTCGCCAAAATTTACCTGATTATTGAACGACACTTGTTGACTTATAGAGTGTATAAGCTTAAATCCGCTGTTTGCTCATAGGTGACATTAGTGAGCGTACAAAGCTACCCTGGGCATACAATACACTTTTTTTTAAGTGTTTGACATCTGTCAACATTAACCAGTGCACATCATCAGCAATTTCATACAACAACATACATTTTTTCTTTCGCAATCATGTTTTTTACTAAAAAAAAAGCGGGAAACTTTGCTTTTCTGTTTCAATTTAAAGAAATCGGCTGTCGAATCGAATGCTTGTATAAAGGCCTATAGCGACGATGCTTTATCGGAAACAACGTGCAGAGATTGATTTCGCCGGTTCAATGATGACAATTTTGACCTTAGTGACAAGAAGCGTGAAAATCGGTCCAGGAAGGAGGATTGTCAATTGCTCTTTTGGACGAGGACGATACCCAATCGCAAAAAATGCTTGCCGAGCAATTGGGTGTTTCTCAAGCAGCCATTTCCATGCGGCTACGTGCCATGGGGAAGGTTCAAAAGATCGGAAAATGGGTGCCGCAACTGAACTGAACGATAGGCAGATGAAGCGACGCCAAAACACATGCCAAATTCTGCTTACTAGACAAAAAAGAAAATTCGTTCCTGCATCGGATTGTGACAGGCGATGAAAAATGGATCTATTTTCAGAAACCTTGGGTTGATCCCGCCCAACCATCAACATCCTCAAGACCAAATCGCTTCGGACGGAAGACGGTGCTGTGCGTTTTATGGGATCAGGAGGGTGTCATTTACTACGAGCTGTTAAAATCTGGTGAAACTATTAATGCTCATCGCTACGACCAACAACTGATCAAATTGCACCGTGCTCTGCGTGAAAAAAGGCCGCATTATCGGAAAAGACATGACAAGCTGATATTCCTTCACGATAACGCACCATCGCACACGTCAACAATGGTCCAAAATTACTTAGAGACACTCAACTGGGAAGTGCTACCCTATCCCGCTTACTCACCAGACCTGGCACCTTCTGACTATCATCTGTTTTCATCGATGGACCACGCGCTCG